AGTTGAGACATCCAGCAAACGGAATTTTGTCAAAGGTTAGTTGCACACAAGAAGAAAACAAAATGAAACTTGACAAAAAGGTTTTAATGACGGTATCATAGAGCTGCGCATTTATTCAAGAACCGAATATTTTTAAACCTACGTACTTAACCTCTGTTTAGGACATTCATAGGCCCTTTCGGCCTTTTCCGTGATGCGGTATAGGGACACCCAACGGTTGAATGTTTTGTTTAAAAAAGCTATAATTCGAAGAAGCACAGTGTAATTGTCTGGAAATTTCTAAAGCTGGAGATGAAAAATGTTCGATTTATCTCAATTTTCGACGCTTTTAGTCCATTAATTTTTCTACGACTTTCTGAAGTTGGTTTTTCACCTTTCCGTGACTTCCCAGGTTTGATAATCATTCGTAAAAAAGGACTACTAAAATGTTTGGCTTCGGATATAGTAACGGAAAGAGGTTTCGCAAAATGTTGAGTTTTCAGTAAAAGATTAAATAGTATCAAAGATTTTTGGAAGAGTAAAAAGAAGGAGGTATTAAATTCGCTTAGACAAAAGGAGATCTAGAATTACAAACCAGTTAAATATTTTATAGTGCTTCTTAGAAAGGAATTTGCAAATCTTTAAAAACATTCTAAAAACTGATATCTTAAAATGATTATAATAGAATTTTGGAGCAAGCCGCGGCGTTGTGTTCAAGGAGCGAGATGTTTCTCTCGCTCCTAACTCCTGATATGATATGCCCGCGACACATAAAAGCTTGCAATGTTTAAATACAGGGATTAGCTGTGGCGAGCTGAAAGCGACTTACGTCGTTTTCATATTTTCATCTGAGAAATTTTTGTTCCGTTAACCGAGTGAAATTGATCGTATAGTTTGCATCAACTTTGAAAAACTACGGTATGATATTTTCTTAGCAGTAGTTCTAAAAGTTCCTTCATCATTCGCTGTTCAAAATCAAGAGTTCCCTTTTTATGATAACCTTCATAGTTTACAAAACAGGAAAACACCAATAAACTTCCTTTGTTTCAGCAGAGACGCATGCAGAATAAAAACTAATTAAACCGTTTGTCCCAACAACCGATGCTGTCGATCAGCGTCCTAATGTATCTCCATTAGTGATCTTTGCGAAACTAACATCAACCTTCTTTGTCCACGTTCTTAATTGAAATTTTTTTTTTTCAAATTCTTCCGAAAGGTAGACAAGCAACAGAGAGAAAAGGGAATTAAAAGTGTAAAGCGAAAAAAATAACGATCCATGATATCATCCTAGTGCATCACCTGGCTCGCTGTATTCCTTACCATGTTTGTTGCTATAGTAACAGTGAACCTTCTATCAATCATTCTTCTTATAAAAAACCACAGTATAAACCTGACCATAGTTGATATGTTTGTCGGAGGATTTTCTCACTTTTCTCTATTTGTAACCTTATACTCTACTTAAGCGACATTGTGCAATTTCCGCACTTAACCCTGGAACTAATGACATAAACAACTGGCTTTTTCTTCGTCTGGTTTCCTCTGACCTCTCTTACAAACATTGCAGTAATTTCATTGGATCAGATGCATGCAAAAATTCGTCCCTATACAGCCCTTAAGAATCGCCTCTGCTCATTAAAAAGTGAGTCTACGGGGTAACAATTTTTGCTCTTGTCTGGGTTTCACCTGCAAAGTTTATTATACTAATCCTTGGGAATCGAATGTTTAACCAAATAGACCTTTACAAGGTTAACACCGCCATTTTGCAGGGGGTGCAAAACTACTGGGGCGAGCGCGCGGCCAAACAATATAATGCAAATGGCTGACTCATCGAGTTGCAATTACCTGCGAAGAAATATCGAAATATCTTAATCTAGGATCAAAACACGTGTACTGAAACTGTTAGTTTGAAATCCTTTTCTATTTCTGCCGCTACCACTCCGGTGGAGCGGCCACAAAATTATTTGTGATGCCTCGACAAGCAGAGGAAGTTCTTGAATACGACGACTTCCTCGGTTGGACTGTTTCCTCGTTAAAGGATTTTCTTTCGCTACGGGGACTCAAGCAAACGGGCAGAAAGTCTGAGCTGATCGCTAGAGCGTTTGGAGCCTACGAACTCAATGTGCCTGTGAAGTTTTCCCAGGAGCAAATTTATCAGCAGATAAAAGACGAATATTCAAGGAGGCTGACTAAAAATGAAATTAAGAGTGATCCAAACATGTTACCGAGTGACGCTTGGATTGACGACGTAAAGGAATGGCCAGAGGTCGATGATGGCAAATTGTTCAGTTATATTTTGAGGACTAAAGCCGTAGATGTCGACTATATTGGAAAATACAAGGATCAGAAGGTCTATTCTTATTGGATGAGTGGCTTTGTAGACACAGTGTTCTTTGCTAAATGCCCAATTAACAGCAAGCATGTGTTCTTGAAAGGCTCTGTATCCCCGTCACAAAAATTCGTGATGACCCGCATAAGGTCTGGGTTTGTTTAGAGGGCACAAAAAGTGAATGCAAAATCTTAA